GGGGGGGGCGCGGGCCGAGTGGGTCAATGGGTTTTCTTTTCTTTAAACAAAAGAATGTTTTAAAGATTTTTTATGTATTCGAGAGAGCTTTAGTGGGGGAGAGGCGGAGGGACAGGGGGTGCTCACTGAGCCGTTGGGGGTGTGCGCCCTACTGGGGACTCCGTCCCAGGACCTGCGGTCGTGACCTGAGCGGAAATCGAGAGCCCGCACTGCACTGGCTTAGCCTCCCAGATGACCCCCATGGTTTTCTTTTACCCCTAAACAAGGTGGTATAGGTTAGCTTTTTTTTTTTTAAGATTATTTATTTATTTGACAGAGAGAGACACAGCGAGGGAGGGAGCACCAGCAGGGGGAGCGGCAGAGGGAGAAGCAGGCCTCCCGCCGAGCAGGGAGCCCGAGGCGGGGCTCGACCCGGGACCGTGACCCGAGCTGAAGGCAGGCGGACGCTCAAGGACTGAGCGCCCAGGCGCCCCTAGGTTGGCTTTGTTAAAAACAGTCTTGACCCAGCAGCCTGCCTTCCGGCGAAGCGGGCCCGCCCCTCCTGTTGTACAGTTCCTCTGGGCTCTGCTCTCCGTGCTGCGGAATTCTGTGTATGTTCATGGAGGGTCTAAGTCGCTAGTTCTCTTTTTGTCCTGTTTTTCTCTGGTTTCGGCATCAGGGTAAAGCTGAGTCCCTGAAATAAGTTGGGAAGTGTTTCATCTTCTGCTTTCTAGAAGAGGTTGTGTAGAATCGGGGCTTATTCTTCCTTGATGGAATTTTCACTGAAACCGTATGGGCCTGGAAAGTTCTGTATTTGAAGCTTCTAAATTACAAATTTAGTTTATCTAAGACTATTCTTAATGTCAGTTTCTTCTTGGGTGAGTGAGTTATGGTTGGGGTTTGTAAAATGGATTCTTTGCATACACGTTGTTGAATTTATGTGTACAGAGTTGTTTATAGTACTCCCTTATTAGCCCGTTCATGTCCTGGGGTCCCTCCAGATACCCTTCTTCCATTCTCAATATTGGTCATTTCTGTCTTTTTTAGACTTGGTAGAGGTTTGTGAACTGTTACTAATTTTTTCAGTAAGTCACCTTTCAGTTTGATGGGGTTTTCTCCATTGTGTTCTTAGATTCAAATTTTATTGATTCTGTTCTTTAATATTTTCTTCTTTCTGCTCACTTTGCATTTATTTTATTCTTCTTTTGTAGTTTTTTGTTTTTTGTGTTTTTTTTGTGGAGAGAGAGAGGGAGAGAGAGAGACACACACAGAGAGGCAGGGAGGGGGCCCAGAAAGAATCTGGTCCTGACTTGGGGCTCGATCCCGCCATCCTGAGATCGTGACCTGAGCTGAAACCAAGAGTGTGATGCTCAACCAACTGAGCCACCCAGGTGCTCCTTTTGTAGATTCTTGAGGTGAGAGATTATTGATTTGAGACTTTTTAATTTTCTAGTATATTTAGTGCCATAAATTTTACTCTAATCACAGCTTTAGCTGCATTCACAAATTTTTTTTGTATTTTCATTAAGTTCAGTGTCTTTTAGATTTTTCCTTGGGACTTCCTCTTTGACCTATGGATTACTTGGGAGTGTGTTTTCTCATTGTGTGTTTGGAGATTTTCTTTTTTCTTTCTTTTCTTGTTACTGATTCTAGTGTGATTCTGTTATGGTCAGAGTCCATACTCTGTATGGTTTTAGTTCTTTTAAATTTGTTGGGGTTTGCTTTTGGTTCAAGATTGGTAAATGTTCCAGGTGCACTTAAAAAGCATGTGTACCCTGTTGTTGCAGGGAGTTTTATGTAAATATCATATCAGTTCCATCCTGTTGGCTAATGATGATGTTCAATTCTTCTGTATCCTTGTTAATTTTCTGCCTAGCATTTGTGTTAATTACTGGGAGGGGACTGTTGAAACCCCTATAACCCAGACTGAATTTGTTTCTCTTCTCACTGCTTCCTGTGTTTTGAAGCTGTGCTGTCTGAAGCTGTGCATATGTATTTAGGATTTGGAGTGACCCTTGTAGCACATGGTGTTCCTCCTTGTTCCTGATAATTTCCTTTTTTGAGACATCTGCTAGTATAGCTACTCCAGCTTTCTTTTGATTCATGTTTTCAGGGCACATCTTTCCCCGTTTATTTACTATTTAATCTAAACTTAACCCATATCATTGTATTTGAAACGAGGTTCTTGTAGACAGTGTGTAGTTGGCTCATTTTTATTTACTCTGCCAGTCTCTGTTTTTTATAGTGTATTTAGACCATTTACATTAAATGTAATTGTTACTATGGGAGAGCTGAAGCATTCCGTTGTATTATTTGTTTTCTCTTCATTGCCTTTTCCTTCTTTTGTTTCCCATTTCCTGCCTTCCTGTGGTTTGAATATTTTCTTGGTGTTGCATTTTGAGTTAACTATTATATTTTTGAGCATATCTCTTTGTATAGTGTTTTTAGTGGTTGCTTCATAAATTACAGTGTATTTATATAATTTAAAACAGTCTAATTGTGTGGACCTTTTACCCCTTCAAGCAAAATGTAGAAACCTTATAACCAATGTTTCCTTTGTTTTTTTATCCTTTATAATTTAGTTGTCTTAAATATTTTCTCTGTATACCTTGAGAACCACATTAATCATTTTTTTGTTTTACAGTCATCCAAAATTTTAAATAACTCAGGAGGAAACATTTTTACCTATATGTTTACCTGTTTCATTATTCTTTCTTCATTTCTGATGCTCCAGGTTTTCTTCTTTTATCCTTCCTTTATGTTTGAAGGGTTTTCTGTAGCAGTTACCTTAGGGCAGGTGTGCTGCTGAGACGTTCTCTCGGTGTTTCTTCATTTGAAAATATCTTATTTCACCTCAGCCCCTAAGACTGTTTTTGGTGGATGCAGAGTTCTAGGGTGAACGTTCTTTCCTTTCAGGACTCGGGAAATGGGGTGCTGCTCCTCCAGGCCCCCTTGATTCTGAGGTAATCCCTGCCCGGTGAGCTGTTTCTTCTCCCTGGTAGCGTCTTTTTAAGATTCTTTCACTGTTCTTAGTTTTCAGAAGTTTGTCTCTGATGTATCTGGGCATGGCATTTTTTTTTTTTTTTTTGGTCTTTATTCTGTTTGGGGTTTTCTCAACTTCTTGAACATGTAGCTGTCCGTCTTTTGCCAAATTGGATAAGCTTTCAGCCCCTGTTTCTCTACTTGGTCCAAGTTTCTCTTCTTACTCATACTGTCTTTCTCTCAGAGCTCCAGTCGGAACTGCGCTGGCCCGTGACAGGAAGGTGAGGTCTTTTTACTTTTTTTAAGTCTGTTTTCTCTCTGCTGCTCAAATAGGACAATTTTGATCAATATGTTTTTGCATTTACTCTGAATTTTTTCTTCTGTCATCTCCATTCTGTTACTGAGCAGCTTCTGTGGGGGTATTTTTGATTCAGTTATTGCATTTTACATTTCTGAAATTCCTGTTTGTTTCTTCTTTATGTCTTCTGTGTTTTGGCCAAGACTTTCTATTTATCACTTGTTTCAAGGGTGTTGATAATTGTTCATTGAACTATTGCTTTAAAATTCTTGTTAAATAATTCTGACTTCTGTCATCTCCGTGTTGGTGTCTGTTCATTGTTTATGCTCATTCAAATTGAGATCTTTTTTCAGTTTTTGGTCATTTTTTATTGTGTCATAGACATTTTGGATATTAAGAGGCTATTTCTTATTTAAGTCTCATTACACAGTATTGGCACTGAGTGGGTGCTGCCTCACTGCTGAGGTGGTGGCCAGCCTCCTGTCACACACACAGTCTGTAGATGCCTGCGGGCTACCTCCTGGCAGCCCAGTGGGGTAGTAGTCAGGGTCCGCTCACGCAGTCTCAGTGCCGTCCACGCTGCAAGGCAGGTGTACGGTGCATTGTTTTTACTGGGTGTTGAGCTAGTGTGGGGCTGATGTCAGGAGCCTGTGCTGCAAGGCGCCCAGGTCCCAGTCCTTCTACCATGGCCCACAGGCTTGCCCTTCTGTGTTAGAGTCCATTGGTGGTTCTGGGTTGCCAGCTTCGTTGGCACTCAGATTGGGATGTATGGAAGACAAAATAGACAGCCCTGAGACCAACACAGGGCCCTCTCTGCTTGACGGTTTTTTTGAGGTCTCTAGACAGTTGGCCTCCCGTTCCCTATTCTCGAGTTGTCTGGTGCTTGTTTCATACCTTGTTTTCCACTGAGTTAGGTATAATACATGAGTAGGAGTAGGGTAAAATGGATCTATTCTGTCTTGTCTGGAACTGGAGGCCCACAAACCAATTTTAAATTTAATTGAGGTATGTTTTAAAACATAAATATTCCTGGGAAAGTATTGGTGTGCCCATACCCAAGCTGTTTTTTTGATTACAGAAACTTAATTTTGTAGCAACATTTACTTAATGGCCCATTGTTGAGTATACCACACAGTGGCATGTGGTACATAGAGGCTGACTGTGCCCTCGAGTGTAACGGGCATGCACTAGTCAGGTTGGCTAACCAGTGGGCTTACAGTTGGGATCCCTGAGTGGAGGCTATGCAGGCGATGGAGTTGAGCAGCCAGGAGTCAGAGAGCGAGCCCAGAGAGGAGGGTATTGCTGGTGGGAGAGGGTTTGGGGGAGAAGCAGAGGAGGTGGGGAGCAGGGCAAGGGCTCGGAGACATTGTGGAGGTAAACGAGCTGGAAACCTTAAATGCAATTCTTCTTTAATGCCACTCTTCAAACTTTGAATGAGTTGCATTATTTTTGTGAGTTTTTCAGATTCTGAGGTTGCTACAGCTCACTTTTATTACAGTACTTTATTTCCACTAAAAAGTAAGGTTGAAGTCTCATAATTTTCTATTCTTAGCTGAACTTCAGTCATTATCTATTCCTGGAACTTACCAAGAAAAGATTACTCACCTGGGAACTTCTTTGATGAATTTAACAGGTCTAAAATCTTTAGACCTCTCACGCAACTCCTTAGTGAGTCTAGAGGTAAGTTTTGTTTCTTAAAAGAAAATTTATTGCTATCAGTAGCAGTGGAAAGTACATTCATAGTAAAAAATGCAATCTGTTTTATACCTCTGCTTACGTGTAGGCTGTACACTTGACCCCGGTTACAAGTGTTGTGTTGTTTTTCTTGCACAGCTCATTATGTCTTTAAACTACCTTGACAATCAAAAGTCATATCTCTGATGAAGATGGTTATATCTTTAAGGGAACTGAAATAAGGCCCCGAAGACTAGTGTGTGTGCTGGTCACTGTGCGTCCCTGTATCAGATGTGTTTTTCTTCATCCACATTCTGTACTTCACATCTGTTTGTAGTCTGACTCCTGGTGGCCTCAAACCTTTGTGTAGCAGAGCCACGAGTGCAGGGCTTCCTGCAGCGCTCCTGACGTGGCGGGCAGTTGGTCCTGGTAAGCAAGGAAGAAATCACCCAGGTGATGGCAGCTGGGAGAGTTGTGTAAACGCTGCTCATGACTTCATGGAGAAGAGGTTCCTGCCTCCCTTTATTGAGAGAGCCCCCCTGACACAAGACTGGGAGCCTGCTCAGAGTCCCCTGCAAGTCTCAGTCCAGCCTCCACCCAGTGCCGGCTGACCTCTCAGCCTCTGTACAAGGGAGCAGTAACAGCTCTACTCCGTCGGGTTGTGTGCAGACTGAATGAAATGGTGAGAACTCGGTAGATACGGGCTGTCCTCAGTGCTGTTAGGACTGCTGCAGACGTGACATTTCACACCTGCACGGCCATCTCATGTGAGCGAGACACGGAGCCTCCTACCTAGAACACATCTATCCTTGTGCTCTTCCTGTGACCATTGCAAGTGCATTTGTGAAGTTGTGTTGGTTCGTATTGCTGGCCCGTTTCACTGTTTGTAGAAGTGTGAACTAATCCTGCCTTTGATCCTGTTGACAGGGCATTCAGTACCTGACCTCACTGGAAAGTCTCAATCTCTACTACAACAGCATCTCCTCCTTAGCAGAAGTGCTTCAGCTCCACTCCTTGACAGAACTCACGGATGTGGACTTCCGGCTGAACCCTGTGGTGAAAAATGAATCTGATTACCGCCTTTTTGTTGTGCACATGCTCCCGAAGCTCAGGCAGCTGGGTAAGCGCCACAGCTGTGCTCACATCCTTGCTCATGGGAGCACTCGTCGCTGTTTTGTGCTCTCTGCTCCTCTAGTTGAGTCCCTGTGTCTCATAGGAGGAGCACTGCTGGGGAGGAGGGCAGGGAGCTCTGGCCACAGACATCTGCCGAGGAAGGCCAGGAGCACAGGTATGGGCCAGGCTGCTCTGTCGCTTTCTGGCTGATTGGCTTGGACACCTTGCTGCACGAGTGTGTGCTGGCTTACCTCTCGTGCCCCTCCCCCTGCACTGGTGGACCGTAGGCTCTGGGAAGCCTGGCTGCTCTGCCGGGCCCCACCTGCCTGGGCCTGGGGATAGGGGTGGGCTGTGCGTATCAGTGACCAGCCCCCATTGCTACACTGATTAGTGTCAAGCCTACTTAGAATTTCAGTGTTTAATTTTAATTTTTAGATGTTTAGGAAGGGTAAGGACTGGTGTTCTTACTTGACTGTTTAGGTTATCAACACTTGAATTGGGCTCTTTTTCAGAAGCATTATAGTCCGTATGAGAAAATTTTGCCATCTTCAGTCTTAAATCGTTACTTTCCCTTTATTATAAAAGTTTTAAATTCAGAATCTTATAGTGTGGAGAAGGGACATAAGAAAGAGGAGCAGAGGTAGAGGGAGAAGCAGGCTCCCTACTGAGCGGAGAGCCCAATGCAGGGCTTTATCCCACTACCCCAGGATGATAACCTGAGCCGAAGGCAGACACTTAACCAGCTGAGCCACCCAGGTGCCTCCAAAGCATTGACTTTTGATGTTGAGAACCATCTTAACCCTCAGATATTCTGAGGGAAGACCCAGGAGTGAGAACTGATTACAGGCCTTCTGGGGCCCCAGGGACACATGTGGGGACAGTTGAAACTTCAGATCTCAGGGTGCAAACCCTAGGCCCAAACACACGGCCACGACATCATCTCTTTAGCATGTTCAGGGTTCTTATCCACAGAGACATCTCAGATGTGCTCAGTGTGGTTCAAGAACCTCATGGGGCGCCCAGAATGTGCATTAAAAGAGGGCAGTGCTGAGAAGGAAGTCCCCGTGTGTGAATTGCATGTGTATTTCTTTTTCCAGGGGGAGCAGGCTGTTCCGAAGTAGTATCTGAAGAGTAGCTTTCTGTGACCCTGCCAGCCCTCTTGCAATCCATACTTGGCATCTCTGGGAAACCAAGTGTAGCCACCATGGCCCAGCATTCCTTTCCTGGGTCAGCCCAGTGCTTATGGAGGACTCCTGTGGCAGTGCCAGCCCTGGGGGATAGAAGGTCCCTGAAAAGTGGTGGCAGTCCTGGTCATGTGCAGTTGGCTGCAGGGTGGGTGATGGGGGCACTTTCATTCCCGTGGGGAACGTGATATGCTTTAAGGGTGCTAGGAGGTGCCCCTGTGGGGCTTGGTCATTGGGGGCCTGTCACCTGCCTCATCATGGCATTTGCTAATTTCTCTGGCATTTTCTCCCTAGATGACCGTCCTGTGAGAGAGAGCGAGCGGAAAGCATCCCGGCTGCATTTTGCATCAGAGGAGTCACTCGCCTCAAAGCAGAGCTTCCCAGCTGTTTTCAGAGTTGGAAGGTATGAGCAGAAGTGGTATTTGAACATTGAGAGGAGCTGTTCAGACTTGCCTGTTGATAGAAGGTTTACCTAAAAGATACGCACTTCTCTGTGTGCTGATTGCCACTTGGAGGGGAGCCGTGCAGAAGAGGAAAAGGGATGCTCGGATGCCAGTGGGGGCTCTCCCCTTGTCCATGTTCTCCGTAGTTATTTTTTGATACTAAAATGTTTATTAAAGTAATACATGTAAAATCAAATAGCGTGAGAGGCTTGTGATGAGAAATCACAGCCCTTTATCCCGCCCCTCAGCCCAATCCTCAGAGGCAGCACCCCTCACTCCTGTAGTTGTCCCTGCCTGCAGATTCTGCTTGAGTCCCTTTCTCATCTCCAGACAATACAAACATCACCTTTAGTGGGTGTGAGCACTTTCAGCAGTAGCCCACTGCTGCCACAGGCCTTTCCTCCCCAACCCCAATAGTACAGTCTGTGGGATATGATCCTTCCTGTGTTCTCTGCTCAGTGTCCCGTGGCTGGTGCTGCCTATGTAGTTGGACTGTGGCAGTGGGATCTTTTGCCTGCCTGTACCCCACTTCCATGCCACCTCCCAGCTCCTGTCAGCGGAATTGTTATGTTTAACTGTGCGCTGTGAAGGTTGATGGTATTTAAATGTGTTCTGAAACCATGAAGTGTATTCATGGTTTGCAGGTTGATTTTAAAGGGCAATGTTTACATTGCTTGAACTGTGCTAGGACTACATATTTTTGTACACCATTTTGATTTGTCTGAAGCCTTTACTGGTTTTCTTCTTGCATTATATGCCTTAGCTCATTTTTAAATTCCTCTAATGTAGGGGTTGACCAATTCTTTTTTGAAAAGGGCTGGAGAGTGAATATTTTTGGTTCTGTGGACCATATGATCTCTTTCTCAACTTTTGAACTCTGCCTTTGTAGTGTGAAAGCAACCATAGGTAATACTTAAACAAACGACCGTGTTCCAATAAAACTTTATTTATAAAAGTAGGCAGTGGGCTGGATTTGACCTGTGGCCATACTTTGCCAGTTTCTGTTCTGACGTCTCAGGATCAGTTCCTAACCCTTGGGAACCCTGTTCCCTCAGATCCCCTTTAGCTCCCCCTCCCCTTACTTCCCCATTTCAAACTAGTTTAATTACTGCGTAGACAGCCATTCCCAGTATCCTGTGCAATGCTCTGGATGTTTGTGGCCCCCCCAAATTCATATGTTGAACCCTAACTCCCTGGGTGATGGTGTTAGGAGGTGGGGCCTCTGGGAGGTGATTAAGTCATAAAGGTGGAGCCTCATGAATGGGCTTGGTGGCTCTTAGACAAACCCCACAGCGTTTCCTAGCCCCTTCCTCCATGTGAGATTATGAGTCAGGTAGTGTCAGACCTCTGACTTTGTTCTTCTCCTTCCATATTTTGTTGGCTATTCTGGGTCTTTTGCCTCTCTCTGTAAACTAAGTTTGTTGATATCTGTAAAATACCTTGCTGGGATTTTGACTGGGATTGCAATGAATCTTACAGATCGAGTTGGGAAGAACTGACACCTTGACAGTATTGAGTCTTTGTCTCTATGAGCATAGAATATCTGTCCATTCATTTAGTTCTTCTTTGATTTCACTTATCGGAGGTTTGTACTTTTCCTCAAACAGATCTTGTACATGTGTTGTTAGATTATACCTAATATGTCATTTTTTGGATGCTAATGTAAATGGTACTGTCCTATTTAATTTCAAATGCCATACATTATTGGTATGTGGGAAGAGGCTGACTTTTGTATATTAACCTTGTATATTCGTTTCCTAGAGCTGATGTAACAAAGTACCAAGACTGGGTGGCTTAAAATAACAGAAACTTGTTGTCTCACAGTTGTTAAGGGTAGAAGTCTGAAATCAAGATGTTGGGGAGTTATTCTTTGTGGAGGCTGTGAGGGAGAATCCGTTCCATGACTCTTCTGGTGGTTTGCTGGAAATCTTTGGTGTTCTTGGCTTGCAGATGCATCCCACCAGTGCTCTGAATTCATGTGGCTGTCTTCTTTCTCCCCGTGTCTTTTCACAGAATCTCTCCTTTTTCATGCTTGTTTCTGTATCCCAGTTTCCCCAAAAGATAGCAGTCAGGTTGGATTAGGGGCCCACCCTAATCTCATATTAACTTGATTATCTCTGTGAAGACCCCACTTCCAACTAAGATCATGTTCTGAGGTACAGGGTGTTGGGACTTCATATCTTTTGGGGAGGACACAATGTGACTCATAACTCCTTGTATTTTGCAGCCTTATTTTGCAGGAGGTTTTTTTGTTTTTTTTTTTCCCTTGTCTTGGGGATTTTCTACATAGACAATCATGTATCTGTGACAAAGACAACTTTATTTTTTCCTTCCCAGTCTGTATACCTTTTATTTCCTTTCCTTGTCATACTGAAGCTGGGACTTCCAGTATGACGTTTAGAAGAAGGCATGAGAGAGGACACATCAGCCTTGTCCTGATCTTAGCAAGGAAGCGGCTAGTTTCTCACCACTAAGTGGGATGTTAGCTACAGGTTTTCATAGATACTCTAGTTGAGGAGTTCCCCTCTGTTCCTAGTTTGCTGATCATCGTTATCATGAATAGATGTTGGATTTTGTCAAATGCCTTTTCTGTCCATTGATAGGAGCATATGAATTTTCTTCTTTAGTCTTTTGATTTGATGATTGTATTGATTGATTTTCAAATGTTGAACCAGCCTTGCATACCTGGAATAAATCCCACTTGGTTGTGGTGTATAATTATTTTTGTACATGGTTGGATACAATTTGCTAATATTTTGTTGAGGATTTTTGTATCTGTGTTCATGAGAGCTATTGGTCTATAGTTTTCTTGCATGTTAAAATAAGGCTGGCCACATAGAATGAGTTAGGAAGTATTCTCTCTGCTTCTATCTTCTGGAAGAGATTATAGAGAATTGGTATAATTTTTTTCTTTAAATGTTTGCTGGAATTCACCAGTGAACCCATCTGGACCTGGTATTTTAGAGGGTTATTAATTACTGATTCAATGTCTTTAATGTATATAAGTCTGTTCAGTTATCCATTTCTCCTTGTGTGAATTTTGATAGAATGTGTGTTTCCAGGAACTGGTCTGTTTCATTAGATTATCAAATTTGTGAGCATAGTGTTTTTCATAGTATTTCTTTATTATCCTTTTAATGTTCATGGGATCTGTCATCACCATCCCTCTTTCACTTCTGATATTAGTAATATATGTCTTTTTTTTCTTAATTAACCTGGCATAGAGGTTTTTCCATTTTATTTTTAAAGAACTAGCTTTTGGTTTTGTTGATTTTTCTCTGTTGATTTCCTGTTTTCGTTTCATTGATTGTTGCTCTAATTTTTATTATTTCTTTTCTTCTGCTTACTTTGAATTTAATTTGCTCTTCTTTTTCTAATTTCCTAAGGTGGAAGCTTGGATTATTGATTGTAGATACTACTTTTTCCTAATACACGCATTCAGTGCTATGAATTACATTCTAAGTAGTGATTTCACTGCATCCCACAAATGTTGATAAGGTGTGTTTTCATTTTCATTTAATTCAAAATATTTTTAAATTTCTCTAGAGATTTCTTTGACTCATGCCATGTGTTATCTAGGAATTTGCTCTTTAATCTCCAAATATTTGGGATTTTGCAGTTCTCTTACTGATTACTAGTTTAATTCCACTGTGGTCTGAGAGCAGATATTCTATGAATTCTCTTTTAAGTTTGTTAGGATGTGTTTTATGGCTCACAGTGTGACTTGTAAGCTCAAGAAGAATGTGTAATCTGCTTTTGTTGGATGAAGTGGTCTACAGATATCAGTACATCCATTTGATGATGCTGTTGAGTTCAACTGTGTTCTTACTGATTTTCTGGCAGCTGGGTCTGTCCATTTCTGGTATAGAGGTGCTGAGTCTCCAGTGCACTCACCTGTTCTCCTTGTAGTTCTGTCAGTTTTTGCCTCATGTGTTCTGGTGCCCTGCTGTCAAGTGCATACAGGTTAAAGATGTTACTGTCTTCTTGGAGAATTGATCCCCTATCTTTATGTAATGCCTCTCTTATTCCTGATAACTTTCCTTGCTTTGAAGTCTGCTCCATCTGAAATTAATGTAGCTATTCCTGCTTTCTTTTGCATAGTGTCAGCATGATATATATTTTTTTTAATCTTTACTTATTTTTTTTTTAAAGATTTTCTTTATTTATTTGACAGCATGAGAGAGAGAGCACAAGCAGGGGGAACAGCAGAGGGAGAGGAAGAAGCAGACTCCCCACTGAGCAGGGAACCCGATGTGGGGCTTGATCTCAGGACCTCAAGACCATGACCTGAGTGGAAGGCAGCCACTAACTGGCTGAGCCACCCAGGTGCCCCTGACCCTTTACTTTTTATCCATTATATGTCTTTATATTTAAAATGGGTTTCTTGTAGACAACATGTAGTTGGATCTTGTTTTTTGATCCAAGTTGAATCTCTTTTAATTGGAATGTTTAGCCCACTGATGTTTAAAATGGTTATTGATAGGGTTGGATTTTTTTCTACCATGTTCATTTCTGTTTTCTTTGTTCCCTATTCTTGTCTTCTGCTCTGTTTCTTCCTTCTGTGGTTCTAAATGAGCGTGTTACACCATTCCATTTTCTCTCCTTTGTTAGCATATGTTATATTTTTATCTTTTTTAATGGTTGTCCTAGAGTATGAAGTAGACCTTTACAACTAATCTAAATCCACTCTCAAATACCATTGCACCACCTCACGAGTAGTGGCAATACCTCATACTAACAAAACATTCGTAATTCCACCCTCCTGTGCCTTGTATTACCGGTGCTTCATTCATTTCATTGATGCTTAAGTTATAATCATGCAGGTAATATGTGGGTACCCATAATCAAATACATTGTTGCTGTCATCTGTTAGGTCAGTTAAGAATAAGATAAAATAAAAATTTTTATTTTATTCCTTCTCCAATGCTCTTCCTTTCTATATAGATCTGAGTTTCTGACCTATATCATTGTTCTCTCTAAAGAACTTCTTTTAACATTTCTTACAAGGCAGGTCTACTGGCAACACATTCTAATTTCTGTTTATCTGAGAAGGTCTTTATTTCTCCTTCACTTTTTTTTTTTAAGATTTTACTTATTTATTTGACAGAATGAGAGAGCGAGCACAAGTGGGGGAGCAGCAGAGGGAGAGGGAGAAGCAGACTACCCGTCCCCCCTCCCCCCGGACAGGGAGCCCAGTGCAGTGCTCAATCCCAGGACCCCGGAATCATGACCTGAGCCAAAGGCAGACGCTTAACCTACTGAGCCACCTGGGCGCCCTCTCCACTTCTGAAGGATAATCTTGTAGGATACCAAATTCTAGGGTGGTAGTTTTATCTCTCAGCAATTTAAATACTTTCCTCTTGTGTTGCTTACATGGTTTCTGAGGGGGAGTTGGATGTAATTCTTGTATTTGTTCCTCTACACATAAAGTATTTTTTCCCTTTGGCTTATTTCAGATTTCTTTTCTTTTTCTTTGGTTTTCTGCGGTTTGATTATGAAATTCCTTGATGTAAATTTTGGATGTTTATTCTGCCAGTGTTCTCTGAGCTTCCTGGATCTGTGATTTGGTGTCTGACAATGAGGAAATTTTCAGACTTTAAATATTTTTTATGTTTCTTTTTCTCTTTCTGATGTTCTCATTAAGCATGTGTTATACCTTGTGGTTGTCCCTCAATTCTTGGGTATTCTACTGTGGGTTTTTTCAGTCTTTTTCTCTGTTTTTCAGTTTTGGAGAATTGTATTGAGCTATCCTTGGGCTCAGAGATTCTTCCTTCAGCTGTGTCCAGGCTATTGATGAGCCCATCAGAGACTTTCTTCATTTCTCTTAACAGTGCATTTGATCCCTAGCATTTCTTTTTGAGTCTTTCTTAGAATTTCCATCTCTCTGCTTAAATTTCCCATGTGTTCTTATATGTTGTTGCTTTTTCATCAGATCTGTTGGCATTATTACTTAGAGTTGTTTTAAGTCCTAGTCTGATAATGCTAGCATTTCTGCTGTATCTGGGTTCTAATCCTTGCTCTTCTTTTTCAAGATTGTTTGGCCATTTGGAGTCCCTTGAGATGCATTTTAGGATGTGTTTTTCTATTTCTGCAAAAGATGTCATTGAGATTTTGATAGGTATTGCACTGATTCTGTAGGTTGCTTTAGGGAGTACTGACACTTTAATAGTGTTAAGTCTTCTGGTCCCTGAAGATGGGATGTGTTTCTATTTATTTATTTCTGTTTATTTTGTTTACTTGTCCTTAACAGTCTCAAGACTGAACTGTCACAGAGTTTAGAACTCAGAGAGCCCACTCATAACTTGGTGCAGCCTCATGATCCAGAGGTGACTTGGAGACCCATGAGACAGAAACGTGTCAGGTGTCAGGTTTCTGTGGGCAGACCTAGAAAGAGAACCCAAGTCCCCTTCCCTCTTCGGTGAGTTGGAAAACTCTCAGAAGTAGAAAATGGTGAGTAGTATCCATTTCTCAGAGTATGATCAGATATCGTAAAACCAACACTCATAGTATGTGATTGAGTATTATCTTGAAGAGATTTGAGGGGCACCTGGGTGGCTCAGTCGTCAAGCATCTGCCTTCGGCTCAGGTCATGATCCCAGGCTCCTGGGATCGAGCCCCGCATCGGGCTCCCTGCTCCGCGGGAAGCCTGCTTCTCCCTCTCCCACTCCCCCTGCGTGTGTTCCCTCTCTCGCTGTCTCTCTCTCTCTGTCAAATAAATAAATAAAATCTTAAAAAAAAAGAAAGATTTTGTAAGCTGCCTGTGTTGGAAATGAACTTTATGTGTGTGTGTTCACCTTCCTATGGAGGGTCGCCATTGGGAGGGATGTTGTATTGTAAAACACCTCATATTCAATCAGTATGGAGAGATTTTCACTTAATGTAAAGATAGAAACTTGGAACACCATGTCCTTTAACTTTCTTGACACCCGTCACATTGTGGATATGCTAGGAAGAGAACTGGCTAGGGGATGTCAGAACAGGAGCTTTCTGGAACTTTCATTCTTGAATGGACCCTACTGGGGTTTCGTACCCTGTTCAGATGGCATGGTGACATCACATGACCTTCTTTTCATCAGCACTTGTCCTGGGGATGTCCTGCATTGACTTCTTTAGTAGAGGCACTGGGAGCCATTTTCTGCCATGCACCACCTTCTCCTCCCTGGAGACCGCGTGGCCGTGCCGGCAGGGCCCTCGTCTTCCTTCACAGGGTCTGCGTGTGCTGGCGCGGGGTGCTGGCTTAAGCGACAGCACTGAGTTTGCTTTTCCTTGCAGACCGTGCCACTCTAGGGCCCTGTGCACTGACCCCTCGGCCAAGAAGTGCTTGGTCATGGATGCAGATGACGAGGCGGTCCTGAACCTCATTGCTGAGTGCGAGTGGGACTTGAGCAACCCTCCTGGGAGCACAAGTTCCAGCCAGAGGGAGCGAGAGGCCGACCTCCACAGTTCCCAAGGTAGGCTGCTACTCCGCCACGAAGGCCCAGTGGGCCCAGCCTGTGCTGGGGTGCTGGTAATCTCTGGCCTCCTGACACACAGCGCTTTCCAGAAAACTCACCTTTACCTACAGAATCCTCGTGACGTCTCTGTGAAATTGTAAATACTAGCAGTTTGGATTACAGAATTGTGACAGATAGTGTTAGCATAATTGAGTATGTAGTTCTGCACGGTTTGTTCAAGCCTGCCAGGTTTGAACTTTAGACTGGATGAGGACGTTGGGAAGTCTTTGCAGCGTGTGGATTTCTTCACGGGCTTTGCTCAGGGCCTCTGTGTTCCACCAGGACTTGTGTATGTGCTATAGCTCCGTTTCTTCTTCTGTTTTGAGTTTCTGAGAAACTTTCCTGAAGACAACAACAGGTTGAGGCATAAATTTGGGCTGAAATCCCAGTATTCACCTGCTGGCACAAGGACATCTGTCCTGTGGGTGTCCTCGCCAGCTCAGTGTGGTCTGTCTTTTCAGGTCTGGCTCCTCTGGGAGCGTGGTAGGAGTTGCTCCTGGTTCTCATGCACACTTCCCTGAGGACCTATGATGAGACATTTCTGTTCAAGTCTGTTCCCCTCCTATTTTTCTCTCCTTGGTATTGGGTCACAAGAGCTCTTTCTCTGCGGTTTTCTTCACACAAGCTCTTTCTCAGATGTAAATGCTGCAGACTCTCCCGTTCTCTGGCTTGCCTTTTGTGTGCCTCACAGTGCTTCGAACAGCAGAGCCTCTTGATGAAGTCCCAAGTCGTCAGTTCTACTCTTTATATGGTCTGTGCTTTCTGGTGTTCTTTTTGTTTACAAGAAGTCTTTGCCCCACGCTTGTGAAGAGGCGGTGGCACATCTGTTACTTGAGTCTCCCCCTGGTTCCGGGTGGTGCTCTGTCGGCCGCCATGTCTGTGTGCTGGCACCGTGCTGTCCTTACCCTGCAGCCGCGCAGTTGGTGCTAAGCCCAGCGGGGTTGGGCCTGTGCGTGGCTGGTGTGAATCCGCTGCATAGTCACCTTTGTCTTATTTAATCATGTCCTTGATAGCTGTCATACACTATCAGAAGGTTAAGATGGAATTTCTGATGAAATAAAACTTTTTAAAATGTTTTTTAATAAACTAGAATCCAGACATCTGTTGAGTCCTCAGTCAGTACAGCACCAGTGTGGGGATTCCATAAAGAAGAGCCATGAGAAGAGGAAAGGCAGCTCTCGAGGGTGTGGTCCAGAAAAGAGGCTTCAGAACCAGTACTGTGGGGAGCTACCCCCACAGTGTGGACAGCATGTGCACTTTACCCCACACCCAGGTAAGCAGTCTCACGCTTACAATCCCTTACAATCTCTTATAATCCTTTGTAATTCCCAAATTCTAGGTTTTTACTCACTTCTCTTTGTTGTACGTGATTTTGTCAAGAATACAGTAATTGGTTGATTCATTTGTTAAGGTTATTAGCTCAGTTTTATCACTTTTGGGTGGATTTTCCGTGTGTGTGTGCGCACATATGCATGCACGCACTTGGGTACACACATGCATGCATGCACACCTTTTTAAATGCCAGTACTGGTCACTGAGGCCAAAGAACTTGGTCTGCTGATGGCTGTGTTCTGCCCTCCCTTACAGATTCCACAGACATTGAGGACTCGGCCCTTTCTCAGAAGTCAAGTTTGTCAGCACAAAAGGTGTTAAATCCATTGCCTGCTCCTGAAAAGTACAGGAAGCGAAGAATGCCTGGCGGGAGATTCCAGGCACCTGCAGACCAGGAGTGTCTGAGACGCCTGGAGAGGCCCAACGTTTCCTCGAGCCCCGAGGAGACTCTGAGCAGGCAGAGTGGCTCGGAGGGCAGGAGTGAAAGGACCTTGTCTCGCTCCGAGGTATCGGAGCCTGAGGAGGAGGGGCCCCACAGCAGGAGTGGCACTGGAGAGGTGAGTGGGAGAGCCGAGCAGGACTGGATGGTGAGGCAGGGGGCTGCTGAGTGCTGCTGAGCTCCCTCTCCCACCTCTGTGCTCACCGGTCCCCAGCTGGAGAAGCTTCTACACGGGTTTCTCCCCAGCACTTGCTACCTCTTGGTCTGTCGGAAGTGTGCTCCCGGGCTCCACGCCCCTTCCTGCCACGCTCTGTGCTTTGAGGCCAGAGTGTAGGCACAGGCTAGGGGGCAGTTGTTTTGTGCTTGTCTCGGAGGTGGAACCCATCATCTTGACCAGGGAGCCATCAAGGATCCTGTTGTGAGGGTGTCCTGCACATGCATCCTGTGGTTTTCCAAAGGCCTCGTCTTGGGTAGGGACTGAGAGTCCTCCCACTCTCTGAGTGACCCAGAGCCACGTGGGTGATGACTCTCTTGTCTTTGTCACTGGCTTTGTTGGAGGTGGAGGCACAGAGTGGTGGGAATTGGGGCAGACCTCGGGCGGGCACAGGCAGAGCAGGCTGTGGTAAGGGGCCCCGCCGCATCGCTGGTTTGGCAGACATGAGGCACTGGCCTCCCATGTGGTTGGTTAGGGGAGTGATTTCGCTTCCTGTGGTCGGTCCTGAGTTACAAACAGGGAGAAAAATTAGGACAGCTGTCACTTAACTGATAAGTTCTGGCCACGGGACCAATTGTTACAGGGGTCATGGTCTGGCCTCCTGGCTGGTTGCTGTGGGTCGTGGGTCAGAAGGCTGCTCTTATAGAGGGTCTGGTCATTGTCTGTTTGTATGGTCAGTCTCACTGTCTGGACTGAGAGAAAGAAGAAAAGTGAGGAACGTGCCTGGGCCTCTCCTGTGCCCTGGAGGCCTGGCTTCCCTCACCAAGGATGCACATTGCTGGGTGCAGAGCCTCTCCCGGAGAACTCGTACCCTCGCTGTGGGGCTGGGACTTGGCGGGAGGGGCTGCTGCCTCAGCGTGGGGCTGTGGCCTCATGGCGATCATCCTCTCGCAATGGGCACTGCCCTTTGCTCCTCGGGGGGGAGACAGAAGCTCGAGCGAGCGCACTGAGGACCCTGGCTCCGTCACCTGTGCCTGAAGACAAGTGTCCAGAAATAGCTTCTGATGGAGGTGTTGGTGCCAGGTGCTCACTTGGATGCTCTCAGCCTTAGCTTGTTGGGGCAAGCATCCAGGCCTTAGTGTTTTCATACTGCCCCGCGCACACTGTGACCTTGGGCAGAGTGGTGCTCGCTTGCTGGGCCTGCTCCTGGGGAGCCTGGGGTGGGCGGTGGTGGTAGGAGGTGAGGAGCTGTCCCCGCTGAAGTGGCTTCACCTGCCTTGCGTCATTTCGGGGTCTCTGGCTCTTCAGAAGTTCCTTAGTAGAAAAGCCCTCTGGAGGTTAGCTAACTGCAGAGCACTAGGCAGGGCTCTCCCCAGCCTTCTGCTTGGAGCTGCTTCCTGGGGACCTGGGACTAGCCCATGTCCCAGCTCTGGTGATCGGCCCAGAGACAGATGTGAGCTTCTGCGCCCTCCCTCGCCACATCCCCAGACACTTGGAAAGTGGGCAGGAAAGCAGAGGCCATCCTCCTTTCTTTGATAATTTTTTAAAACTGGTAATTTCTAAAAGGGAAAGAGAATGACGTTGATGTGCATGTTGACATAGCACTGGTGTGGCGGGCCCTGGGTAGAGCCCTGCACTGGTCTTGCCTGGCAGCCCTTTTGCCCACATCGTCCTGGCCTGACCACCATTTGGTCCATTGTGTGACTTCATTACATTCAGGGCTTTCTGGGTACCAGTGACCATTCAGGCCAAGACTGGCTCTGATGGGTCTCCAGTCTCCAGGAGTCCCTGTGGACTGATTCAGGAGGACCCAGAACAGGCCATTGTGGGAGGTGCCACAGCCTTAGAGTTTAAACTGTGATGTGGGTTTCATGACTGTCCCACTTGGTGTGATGCCTTCTAGTGCATCCTTCAGCTGTTCCCCCGGGTACAGGGATGTCACCCGTCCTTGTGCCACCCCTGCAGCCTTGTGAAATCTGGATGGACAAGGGCATCAGCATGATGCATGGAGGGTGCCACATAGGCCTGTGTCAGAGGCTCCGCATCAGGCAGTGACTCCCGGTCTCTGCATCACCGCTTGTCTCCACTGCAGGTAGCTCCCACACTGTACTCGGCTGTGTCGCCTGTGAGGAAGGCTGCGCTGGAGGTGGCACTTCTGGAGGCGCTCCTTGACCTGGTGGACCGGTACTGGAGCGGCTGCAAGTCCCTGCATGGCAATGAGGTGTTCTGGGGTGAGTCAGGAAGGATGGCCACTTAGACCCGCACTCGGGCCACTCTCCAGGCAGCATTCTGTTTGCACGTGCTGTTCTGCTGCTGAGTTCTTTGTGGGCCCCGCACTTCTCTGGCTCCGCCCCGTTGGCTGTCACTGTCCCCACTGCACTGCATGGAGCATCCTGGTGGCCTTCTGCAAAGCAGCTGGTGGCTTCATGGGGTGTGAGACAGGAGGCGCGTCATGCAGGCCTGTGGCTGTTGGTTTTCCCACCTGCTGGCACTCTGGGGTTATGGAGATGCCTGGTCACCTGGTTTTGGTGGAGATGTTGTTCACAGATGTTTGATTCCTGTTGCTCTGTTTTATGGGAAGGTTTGGAAAGATGGAAGAGCTGCCGCGATCTCCTTCACACCCTCTGAACATGTGATCGTGTCCAGGGCCCTGGATTTGCTGGAGTTTTCATTGGCAGTGAGGCCCAGGAGGGTGGTCCCTCCCCAGGGAGGATGTGGCTTTGCTTCTGCCCGAGCCTGGGTGCAGGAGCACACCACGTACCCTTCCAGGGTTCAGCCTTCAGTGTCCCAGTGGGAGCAGGAGCTCGCTGGTCCTTCCTTCCTGCAGACCGTGGGCCCTGCTCAGAGCTGAGCTGTATGCTCAGTATTGTGGCCCTGCAGCTGTAGCCCCTGGATCCTGATCCCGGAAATCTTAGCCTCCTGCTCCCAGTTGCGGAGCTACCAGACTGCGTTTGGGGTCCAGGCCAAGAGCAGGAGCTGGCAGTGCCGTGGAAGAGAGCATGGCCGGCCACTGGGTCATCCAGCCAAACTGTCCCGTCATGGCCTTCTCTTCAGAGACACCTTTGCTCTAGAATAAAACTGTTTCCCTGTCTGTCCACCTCCTATTCTTGATTGGATGGATGTACAGAAACCTGAGTGAGGTGATTTCAGTGGGGTGCCTGTCCCTCCGCCAGTCTCCGTGCTGGTCAGTGTTTTTGAGGCATGTAGTTTGTGTACAAAATGTATGAACACATCTTGTTTATACTTCATCCTTTTAACATAAATGCCATAATAATATTTGGTTTTGACTCCTAGCTCAGGCAAGACACATTTTGTCCTCTGTGCAAGAATTTACAACAACTCAGGATAGTTCAACAAGTGTGAGTGAAGAAATTAGCTACCTTACTCTGGAAAATAAGTCTCTGCAGAAGCACCTCGCTGAACAGCGGCAGGAGTACCGTGTGAAGATGAGTGAGGCGGTGTCGGAACTCAGCGACATGCGGAAGGAGATGGTGAGCGTGCCTTTGCCTTACCTCTGTTGGTGCACACATGGGGTAGGGGCGTGGTTTTGACTTCACAGAGGAAGGGAGTGCTGCTGTCTCTTCTGTGAGAGGCTGAGTGGGGGAGAGAGCACAGATGAAGTTGGGCTTGAGATGGACTTTTTGTGGCCCCGGTGCTCGCTGGCCCAGGCTGCCTAGCCCACTGCTGAGAGAGGCTTCCATTGGCTAGGTGATCCTGGGGTTCCTGCTGCTGTCCTGCCTGCACCAGCCACAGAGGCCCATGATGTGCTGTTGGCCCGGAGGGACTTCCTCCACCAGGTGGTGCCCAAGGGCAGCCAGAGCCAGCACAGCTTGGACCCAGCCCCTGAGCCAAGACTCCTGGCTGGGCAAGGCTGTCCTCCTTCCTAACCTCACGATAAAACCATTACATGTAAATGCCTATGTTAAAAAACAGAACCTCAAGCAGCCTAATTTTACACCCCAGGGAACTAGAAAAAGAAGAGCCCGCTAAACCCAAAGTTAGCAGGAGGTAGGAAGGAAGTTGTAAACATCAGAGCAGACATAAATCAAATAGAGAATTAGAAAAATAATGGAAAAAAAGAAACCCCAAACTGAGTTGGGTTTTTGAAAAAAATATACAAAATCCACAAGCCCTTAGTTAGACTAAAAAAAAGAGAAGACTCAAAATCACAAATGAAAGAGGAGACATTGCAGTGGATGCCTCAGAAATGAAAAGGATCATAAGGGAGTGTTATGAATGCTTATAAGTGAGCACACTGGACAACCTTGAAGAAATGGGTAAATTCCTAGAAGCATACATCCTGCCAAGACCATATCAAGAAGAAATAAAGGGCAACCTGGGTGGCTCAGTTGGTTAAGTGTCTGACTCTTGATTTCGGCTCAGGTCATGATCTCAGGGTCATGAGATCAAGCCCCATGTTGGGCTCCATTCTGGGCATGGAGTCTGCTTGGGATTCTCCCTCTCCCTCTGCTCCTTCCCACTCTTCATGTGTGTGCACCCTCCCACTTTCTTTCTCTCTCTCTCTCTCTCAAATAAAGCCTGAACAGAACAATAACAAATAAGGAAATTGAGCAATAATCAAAAACCTCCCAACAAAGAAAAGCCCAGAACCAGGTGGCTCTATGGCTTAATGCTACTGCACATTCAAGGAAGATTTAATACTCCTAAACTCTTCCAGAAAACAGAAGTAGAGGGAACACTTCCATACCATTTATGAAGCCGGCATCACCCTGATAGCAAAAAAGCAAAACACAAGAAAACTAGAGGCTAATATCTCTGGTGAACATAATTTAAAAATTCACAATAAAATACTAGGAAATCAAATTTAAGAACACATCCAAAAAAGTATACACTATCACCAAGTGGGATTTCCCCCTGGAATGCAAGGTCGGTTCAACAAATGCTGATTAAGGCACCACAGAAACAGACTGAAAGATCAAACCCACACAATCATCTCAATAGATGGAGAAAAGCATTTGACAAAACTCAACACTCTATCCATCATAAAAAGTCAACAAAATAGGTAAATAAGAAAGTTTCCTCAACACCCAAAAGGCCACTTAGGACAAGGCCACAGCTGACATGTGATCGGTGGAAGAAAACCAAACCTTGCTTTCTGAGCTAAGAGCCACTACCGGACACAGACAGGCACTCCTGTGAGGTCTGCTCAGCACAGCACTGGGAATGGTAGCAAGAGCGCACAGGAGAAGGAGACATCCAGATTGGAAAGGAAGAAATAAGATCATCTGTTTGCAGAGGACAGGGTTGCATGTGTACAACAATCTTAAAGACTCAAAACAGCAACAATAACAAAAACGCATTAGAACTAATACATTCAGAGGAGTTGCAGGACACAAATCAACATAATAGAAATCAGTTGTGTTTTTTTACACCAACAGTTTATCTGAAGAGGAAACAATCCCATTTATGATAGCATCAAAAAGAATAAAATCCTTAGTAATACGTTTAACTAAAGAGGTTAAAGATTTGAACACTGAGAACTATAAGAAAATCAAAGACATGAATGGAAGGGTGTCCCATGTTCATGGATTGGAAAATTAATGGTGTTCAAAGGCCACGCTCCTGAAGGTAATCTGCAGATTCAGTGCGACCCCTGTAAAGATTCCAATGGCATTTTTCACAGAAATTTAAAAAAATTGTAAAATTTATATAACTATTTTTCTTAAAATTTGTATTCTCTCATTTCTAGTTTCACGGAAGATCCCCAATAGCCAAACCTGTCTTGAAAAAAAAAAAGTTGGAGGCATCACACTCCCTGATTTCAAATTCTATTATGAAGGAAGCTATAATAATCAAAACAGTATGGTATTGACATAAAAACAGATACATAGATCAATGGAACAGAATAGAGACCCCAGAAATAACCCCATACATAAATGGCCATTCTGTCCCAAGAATGCACAATGAGGAAAGGACAGTCTCTTCGATAAAGGTGCTGGGAAGACTGGACCCTTAACGCCATACATAGAAGTCAACTCAAAATGGATTCAAGATTTTTGAATGTTAAGACTTGAAACTATAGAACTTCTAGGAAAAAAACAGAAAATCCTCCTTGATAGAGTCTTGGTGATGATTTTTTTAATTTGACACCAAAAGTGCAGGTAACAAAAGCAAAAATGTTTTAACAAGTGGGACGACATCAAGCTAAGAAGCTTCTGCACAGCAATGGAAGCCGCCACCTAAATGAAAAGGCAGCCTGTGGGTTGGGAGAAAGTGGTTGCCAGGGGCGGGGAGGTGTTGGTAAGGGGGCCACACCATGGCTGTGGAGGACGGACTGGGTCCAGGACCATAGCTGCTCATGCTGTAGTGGGTCTGCAAGTTTGCTGTGAAAGTAGCTTTGTTCTCCACACCAAGAGAAAACGTTCGCTCTGTGCGAGGAGGGACATTCATCCGCTTGACTGGGCTGAGTTCACGGTGTCTGCACGCCGCCGGGCGCTTGCCTCGACCATAACGGCTTTCCTTCACGGCGTCTGCCATGCCTTCAGCCAGTGGACGTTTTGTTTACCTTGCTAATCATCATGGCTGAGTTTGTGTGGGATCTGTTCAGGGGCTCCTCTTTTAAAAAAGTCAGTACTGACCGCTTGTGTCCCATGGGCTGGGACATCGCGTTCGGCTTGGTCTGAGCAAGTCATGTAAGGCTTGGGGTGTGTGTGCGTGTGTGAGTGTGTGCGTCATTGCTGCCCAGCACGTTACCCCGGAGTGCAGCCCCTTCACCAGCAGCACGTATACCCACAGCTTGTGTAGGTCGGGAGTCCCAGTGCAGCTGAGCTGTGCATCTGACTCAGGGTCTTGCTGTCATGTTGCCGAGGGGGCCATGGTCCCCTTTGGAGGCTTGATGGAGGTGGGCACACAGGCAGCCGTGGCTCTGCGCACGTGGGCCTCTCTTTAGGCTGCCAGCTGTTGGTCAAAGCCAGAGAGTGCCCGAGTAGAAGGCCGTCCTTCGTTACCTGCTCTTGAGAGGGACGTGTCATCGCTTGTGCATGGTATGTTGGTTAGGATCCAGTCAGCAGGCCCACCCACGTGAGGGGAGGACACCACATGATGGCAGGAGCACCCTTGGGCCATCTTGGGAGCTGCCTGCCCCAACCTCTCTATCGGCTGTGTTATTCGTAAGGTGGGAATGTGAGTAGCCACAGGATTGTTGCAAGACGGATCTCTGGACCATCTGAGATTGTATTTTATGAGAACCTGCCATCTTAGAGATGCCTGACAAAGCTTTACTTTTACAGAAAAAGACGAAAAATAAAAATAATGAAATGATATTGGCAGCCTCCTCTGGTCTTAAGATACACCATAGACATGCATGCACATAAGTGGTGGGTATATCTGGGAAGAAGTGGAGCCCTGTGAGCCTGCACCGTAATCACTGTGCAGAACGTCATTTTTGTGGGACGGTGTTGACCCCGTGGGACACAGCATGGCCTGTTAACCATGAAAACAGAGGACCACGGCTTTGGGGTTTGATGCCGATGTGTGGGTTACCCCCTGTTCCCCTACGCTGCTGAGTTTGGGACCAGTGGAATCCAGGCAGACAGGCCCTAGGTGTCTCTGAGTGATGCAGTCTGACATGGAAGACATGCACAGAGGTGTGGCTCCTTCGCCTCTGACGACGGGCTGACTGACCCTGTCCTACAGGCCCTGCCTGGACGAGTGATCCAGAACCCTTGGGCTGCCCCAGAGCCCTGCTTAGTACCCTTCTGAGATCCACCCCAGTGACGCCGTCAGGAGCTACTTCTCACGGAAGGTGTCCCTTGTTTCTGAAGGGTCCGTTGCTGATCCTGCTTTCCTCCCCGTTGTGAAGACATCGGTTCTGCGGTCGTGTCTCCTCAGGTCCTGATGCCCAGGAAACTGGCCTCAGTGGAGGCCTTGCTCCCAAACCTTTCCAGCGTGGCTCCCAGCAGTGGTGCTGTGCACGTTGGAGCGTGATCGGTCCACTGCTCCTGCTCCAGCCTCCGCTGAGACCTTCATCAGGACCAGGGCCCAGCCCCTGCCGTCTCGGAACTCACCACGTTTTGGGGAGACAAACGTGAGGCTCAGCTCACCATGCAGCAGTTTCTGTGCTGCCTAGAGTGTGTGTGCACACAGAGGGGCCGGTGCACTGGGTGGGCTGTCAGCAGGGAGAATGAGCTAGCAGTTTCTTGAAAGCAAGGGCCCTGTCACCTTGAGACTGAGACGCTCACTCTCCTAGTGGGGGTGCGCCTGCTGGTTTCTGTGCAGGCAGGGAGGCCCCCTGCTCTGGGCAGCAGGTGGCTTTGATGGCCCAGGTGCCACCAGCTTTCACAGTGGTCTCCATGCCCTTCCCTCCTCTTCAGTGTTCATGGCGTGCTGGGCTTTGCCGCCATCTTGGAGGGTGGGAAAGGAGCCTACTCTGTCTGCAGCTCCCGCCTGTGATGGGGATGGCAGGTACGAGCCCATGCGCTTACACACCGAGGACAAGAACAGGATGGGGCTCCTGCAGGGAGGTGCCTGCCTCGGGGAGCACAAAGCCCTGGGGTCTGCCTGTGCTTTTGCCCAAGAAGTGAGCCTAGAAGGACCACGTGGGGCTGGCATGCTGCCCGGCTCTTGTTCTGCTCCTTGAGAAGGGATGGGCAGCCAGGCTGTGGTGACCACGGGGCCTTCCTGGAGGAGGCAGGGCTCCAGCAGCCAGCACATCTCCCTCACCAGGGACACTGGGCACACAGTGTGCCCCCATGTGACCTGTGCCGCCCCTCTGTCAGGATACTGTGCTACTCAGCTGGGGGCAACTGTGATTTCTCTTGTTCACGTTGTGATTTCTCAGTTACGATACATAAAGGAGAACTGATGTCTGGTGATCTCGAGAGATTTCACTTAATTTTGTATATACGTTTTACCGAATTTGACTCATCCATTTTAAGTGTGTTCTGTGTCCGTAGGATGACTTGAGGCAACATTTAGACAAATCTTTGAAGGAGAACAGTAGCTTAAAGGTTCTTTTGTTCAGCATGAGAAAAGAAGCAAAACATGCGGACACTGCAGCTACGTTAAATGTGCAGATCACTGGTGAGTTTATAGTTAAGTTATTTGGTGAAATGTGAGCATTCAAACCCTTGTTTGTGGACTTCATTTTAAGTTATAGGACTCAGAAGCCAAGTCTAGTACACGCTGTAAAGGGCTGTGAGGTCTCGTGGCTCATGAGAGCTGCTCCCACAGGCTCCTAGCAGAGGTTCCCCAGAGCATCTGGGGCCGGCCGTGCTGGCAGTGGCCCAGCGGACATGGGGAGCGTGCAGATGGCCACACCTCTGCTGCCTCGGCTGTCCGGAGCAAGCCAGTGCTTTGTCTCTGTGGTCACTGTTTCTCCCAGGTCCAGCTCACTTTCATCTCCCTCTCTTCACTGTGTTTACTTCTGTTTTGACGTTTTTACGAAGATGCACATGGTATCTCAGATTCCAGGGTTTTGAGTGAGGAGCTGGTGGTGTGTGTCTTCTGTGAGCTTCATCTGGGTGGGAACTGCAAGGTCCCTTGGAGGCTTTAACTTCCCTGAGGACTGGCCTGCTGAGTGTTGTGTGGGTCTTACCTCCCAGGGGTCTGAAAACTGTTCATCAAGGGCCTCAGAGCAGGTCTCTCCACGTACTCCCGGTGGGCTTGGCCGGGGGAACACAGCCACAGACGAGACTGTCGCCCTGGTCGCTTGTCTTCATGACACGACCTGCTCAGGTCTCTTCCGTTGTGTTTATTGGGTGGTTTTTTTGAGCACTGAGTTCTTGGTAGTCTTTTCTTTAACTTCATGTAAAAAACTTTTCCCCTTTTCACCTGTGTTTTGAGATGTCATCATCCTCTTCACTTGCTTTTGGGCTCCTTCTTGCTCAGCCTTCATTTCCCGTGAAGCTTTCCTCTGCCGCGAGCTCAGGCCTGAGTTCGGCCACCTCCTCTCTGACATTCTGAGTTCTGACTTGTTCCTCCATTTCTTGTGTCATTTCTTTTTGGTCTTTAGCTCATTCTGAAATATTTGGTCCTGGTTTTGATGTCCTGGGTGTGGCTTCTATTATCCGAGGGCAGCAACTTTGTGTGGGGTCTGCCTTCAGCACTCCTGTGCTGTTCACCTGCACTTGGGGTTCGCCCTCCGCATTTCCAGGGGCGGGTCAGGCAGCACTCCGAACTTCCCACCCAGGCCCTGTTCACTGCCCTGCTTCTCTCTGGTGTCCTGTCCTGCCCGAGCTGGGCCCTCACAAATGGGCCTCTGTAGTACAACCCTCTTCTGGGGGCGGGGGCTGGACGGGTCAGCCTCAAGGGGCCAGGGTTGCTGCAGTCCCTTCAGACCACCCAGGGACCCCCTGGTCTGACCTCATGGAGGAGCCTAAGCCTCTCTTGTGTCAGCCGTGGGTCCTTAGTTGCCCAGCAGGGGCTTCCTGTGAACATGGGGGACACCTAGTGGCTGCCCGGCTGCTGACCACTGCTTCCCTCCCACAGAGGTGGCCACCATGCAGGGCTTGTGGCTCTCTCGTGTCTGGGTCTCGAGGCTGCTGCACCCCTAGGGGCTGTAATGTTGTCTGCGGGGCTCTGGTTTTGTCATCTAGTCACTCTTGCTGTTGGACTTGGGGGGGGGCTCTGGGGGACGCCAAAACCATGCCATCACTGCCCTCTTCCCAGAATCCCCTTCGCCAGCCCTGCAGTGACGGCGTAGGGGGTACAGATGCTGAGTGGTGTGCCTTCAGCGTAGTGCTTTTAGGAGGGCGTTGTGTAGTTTTATGTGGATTTATTTGGGTCCTGGTTTTGGGTTTCAGAGCCAATAAATGATATATTTCTTTCCCTGTTGAGTTGGAAACCCAGAGACAGGAGTCGTGTGGATGGAATCCAGACACGCTGTGTCACTGATGGACATGGGACCAGAGGACACAGCAGAGATATGTCTCGTCGCTTGTCCCCAAAGCTGCAGGCCCTCCCCTCGGGCAGAGCCACTGCCTGGTGGAAGAGAGGCATTGAAGGCCCTTCCCTGCCAGCAGCAGGTCCAGTGAGTGGCAGGAGCCTCTGGCTGGCGCCACACGCACCTCTGTCCCTACTCTGTGCCCTCCATGCGGAGACTTGTTCCTCAGGTATCTGGAGGGCGGAGGCCCGAGGCTGTCTTTGAGTGGCTTACACAAATGACGTTTTCCAAACTCTGTTGTTTTTCTCGTATCCCTGATCCAGCTTAAACTCTTGAACTGTGGTAGTTTTTAAAACCTGTGGGTGAATTTCACTCGATGTTACGGTTTTTCTCTTTCAGGACTTCAAACAAGTGTGAAGAGGCTCTCTGGTGAGATTGTGGAATTAAAGCAGCATCTGGAGCACTATGACAAGATCCAGGAGCTCACCCAGATGCTGCAGGAGAGCCACAGGTGCCTGCTCGGGAGGCGTGGGTGGAGGCAGGGCCGGCCCTGGTCACAGCATGGGGCACAGAGGAGCCCTGGTGGTGTCACGGCAGGTGGGGTTCTGGGCCGCGTGTGTCTCTGCACTGGGGACTTGGAACTTCCCTGAGCTTCCCTTTCTTAAGGAAAAGCAAGTCCCTTCTTGCTGCAGTATTCTGTGAGGTGTGACCCGAGGGTGTGACCATGAGGTGTGGCCGGGAGAGGTGAGGGGCACATGAGAGATGGTGAGACCGTGAGGGCAGTTGGCAGACGGCCGAGTTGGACAAGCGCCGATTCCTTCCTAAGGTGCTTGTCGCGGTAGAAGTGGCCGACAACACCACGAGACCAAGACTCTGAATTACACTGTCGCCACGTCAGCATCAGTAAGGGGCCCCTTTACATTTGACCAGGAGCTAGAAATACGCCAGACGGGGATTGTCTCTGGAGTTAGAACGTGGTTTGCTGGCTTTCCAGACTAGGACGGTTTTCTGACAAAGAGGCGTGGCTGGAGTGGCAGGGCGGCTGAGGGCCCGGGCCAGACGGCAGGAGCCAATGGGAGGCAGGAGGGTGCTGGCTGTGGGGACCGGGCCTGGCCAGGTGAGGGAGGACGCTGCTGGACAGGAGGCAGCAGGCTGGACTTGGGAGGGGCTCAGGTGTCGCCCTCCTGTGCTCTCCCCCAGCGCCCTGGTCAGCACCAACGAGCATCTCCTGCAGAACCTGAACCAGGTGCGGGCGCAGCACAAGGCCGAGGTGGAGCAGCTACACTGGAGCTACAAGGAGCTCAAGAAGATGCTGGCCCTGTTCCCGCACAGCAGCGCCAGCCTCGGCGGCTGCTAGTCCCAGTCCCACCAGTGCCCGTACACCCACACCCGGCCTCCAGGTGCTGTGGCTGGCGCATCTGTATTTGTTTTGCCAAGCCTAGTAAAATGTGGGAATTCTTTTCTACCTACTGTGTTTGTTGGCAAGAGCTGGGTCTTCTGTTCATAACTATCTGAAGTGTTTTGAAATGTATTCAGGGCCTGTTGCTCGGTTTTCTAAAACGTCCTAAGAAAGACAGGATCGGTCTGTCTCTGAGTGAGTCTGGGGGTAAGGATGTGCAGGGTGTAGTATTTGCAAAGAGCGGGCAACCAGGATTATTATTACTTCGGACTCCAGCACGCTGCTCGTGTTTCCCGAAATACGACAGGTTGTACCCAAAAAAAGGATTAATCTAAGCCCTTCACATGTTTTGAGACAAGAAACACTGATATATTTTGAGACCAACATTATTAATTTTTCATAAAATACCTTGAGATAAAGAAAATGCAGTATTTTTTCCCCTGATGTAAAAGAGAATGGTGTCTGATCACTAAGTGATTTTCTGTGCACTCACTCCTTGTTTAATAAACTAATAGATTGTTTTTAAAAGTGGCTTTTTATAAGTTATAACTGAGTTTTTCTCATTGAATTCTTTTATAAAACAAGCCATGCACCAAGTGAGTAGGGACAAATGTGTTCCTAGACTGAATAACAGTAACACTTAGAGTTTGGGGAAACATTACAAATAGTGTTTCATGATACTAACACCCCACAGAGAGTATCTGTATCCACTCCCCCCCACCCCGCCAGTGCTCTCTTGCTTGCAGTGCATTTCTGAAAATCAGAGCATAACAGGGCAAAATATTAGATTTTTAGTTTGGAAGCTTCATATCTTATGCAAATACTTGCTTTCTTTGGTAAAGCAAAGTAATTTTTTAAAACAGTACTTAGTTGATTTAGGAAGAAGAGCAGGCAGGCCTTAGAAGTACATGCTCGGTGGCGGCAGCGCGTGCGTCAGGCTCTCCGGCTGGGGCTCAGGGATCCCTGCCTGTCCCTCGGGAGGTGGCTTCCCCAGTCCCCTCCCTGTCTGGTTGTCGCTATGTCCTTCAGCGCTGGCTTCTGTAACTCAGTAGGAAAACATGGCACACCAAATGTGCTTTGTGTGTGCTTTTCATCATCAGATCATTTTTTTATTTATTTAAAAGATTTTAGCATTAATCCATTTTAAGCTTATTAAAAAGGATCACCATGCTGTTACCTTATGTTTCTCTTGCTTGGGTTTCATTGAGCTTCTTAGACCTGGGAGTTTATCATTTTCATCAGATATGGAGAAGTTTTGGCCACCATTTCTCCAAAATTGTTAGTTGACCCGGCCTCCCTCCCGGGACTCCCAAGTGACACTCAACCAGACCACTTGTGGGGTCCCCACACATCCCCAAATTCGGGTCTTTCCCCCATCTTTTGTTCCTGGCTTCAGTTGGGGTTGTTTCTACTGCCCTGATCTGTAGTTAGGCCTGTATGTGTAGTGTATTTCTAATTTCAGAAATTACGTATGTTTTTAGTTCTAAAATTGCGTTTGGTTCTCTCTTAACTTTCTATGTCCCGTTATATTCACGTCTCAACGTAACTCCTGAGCCATGTTCTTCCTGCCCTCACTGCAGGTGACCTCGGATTGCCCCCGCAGTGGTTACGCCGACACTCCGTGCCACGAGAAGGGTGTTAGTGTCTGTTGGACTGTGTTTTCAGCACCTTCGTGTCCTTGTTCTCGGGGGTGTGTGTGATCTGTAGCGCTTTTGTACATGGCCTTTCCCAGGTGAGAGCAGCTCCTCCTGTTGCTAATCTAAGATGTTTTTATCGTGAATGGATGAATTTTATCGGACACTTTTTTCTGCAGCCATTAGGATGACTGGGTGATTTTTCTCCTTTATTCTCTTGGTGTGGTTAATTACTGTAATTGCAAATGTAAAAAGAACCTTACACGTCTGGGTTAAGCACAACGTAGTAATGATGAGTTTTCCCTTGCAAACCTACTGTTGGATTTGATTAACATTTTGTGTAGGATTTTATGTTGTGGGTCTCTGGGTCTCCACTTCCTCATTTGTAGAGGGAAGACATAGTAGTGCCTGCGCCCAGGGTGTTGTGAGGAGTCCAGGATGATTGTCAGGTCCGAGGACCGGCCTGGCACAGTGCGGCTCTAGGCCCTAGCAGCAGTAACTAGTTCTGCCTCCCTGCGGACTTCCCTTTCTGCTGCCATCTCCCCCGGGTCTGAGCCACTACACTGTCCCCAGGAGAAGAGTTCGGTTGTGCATCCTTCCCTGCTGTCTAGGAGAATCTCGGACAGGTTGTAATTCTCTTTTCCCTGAGTGTTTAGTGGAACTTGCTGAGGAAGTCAGCTGTGCCTGGAATTTTCTTTGTGGGAGATCCTTGACCATTGGTTCGATTTGATTTATGATTAAAGGGTGCAGCAGAGCCTGTTCTCCCAGAGCACCCACCCGCTCCCTCTATTGGCCAGCACCCTGCCCCCCAAACTGGTCTGGGGCCATGTGACTCATCTGAGTGGGACAGAGAAGAGCTGCCAGGCCACTGGGGGGGCCTCCCTCCCCTCGGTGGCCTTGCCGGCGGCGTCACAAACCAGCAGGTCTGTTTCTATCCTGTTGGAGGAGATCCCTCCTTGACCCTGGCCAGACTCCCATCTGAGTAAGAAGTAAATCTCACTGTGTCCAGCCACTGAGGTTTTGGGGGTTTTCTACTTAGTAGTCACTCACCTAAGTCATAGGACAGTGGAGGCTTTCCATTTCTTCTTGAGTTTTCATAAGATCTCTATCTCTAGGATTTTGTTCATATTGCCTAACTTTCGAATTTTTGGTATAACAGTCTTTCCATGGCATTTTAATGGCTTCAGCATTTGGGACTGTGTCCTTGTGGCAGAGGTGCGGGGCAGTCATCCCTTAGGCAAGACCTTGCCATTCAAGGGAAAGGGATGCAGGCGACAGACGGCTCTGCCTTAGCTCTTGAGCCAGGGACACACCAGGGCGGCCCCAGCCGGTGACAGCCCAGGTGGGCCAGGAGGGCCCCTGCAGGGTTCCTGTGGCGCGGGCGAGGCCCGCTGTGCGCCCCGCTCCTGGACCCTTCCCACTTCCCAGAGGCTGCCTGCCCCCTGGCCGCTGTCCCTGCTGCTCGTTCTCGTGCCCTCGCTTCCTTTCCTGCACTGCAGCTTCTGTCCCTCTGCATCTTCAGCTGAAATTATGGACACATTTGGCTTTAAAACATCGCTTTTTTTTTTTTCACCATGCTCACCTCCATGGATCTGGAAGCCATGCGCTCTTTCTGGTGCATTATCACAGCGTGCGGGTGCCCGTCGGGTCAGGACCTCTGCTCTCCCCCAGTGGTGTCCAGGAGCGCGTAGCTCCCTGGGCACCCCTTCTGGCTTACATGGGATGGTCTTCCAGTGTTCCAATGAAATCTTTATTCCCACAGAAAGCACTTACTTACACTGTTTATCTGTATTTACTAAAGTTTATTCTTTGCACCACTTCCCTCCAGACATTCCATCCGTGGTCATGTTCCTTCTGCACTTAGAATTTCTTTTAACGTCTACTGGTGGAAATTCCCATTACGGTCTTAGAATGCCTTTATCTTCCTTTTTGAAAACTATTTCACTGGCCTAGGGTTTCAGGTTGGAACTTCTCGGAGAACCTCATTCCTACCTCTGTGGCTGCTGCAGGTGTGTATAACTACTTTATGTCCAGCCTCCTGGGTCCGGGCCCCACCCTGAGGCTGCACCAGTGCTGGAGTAGACCCCTCCCAGGGCCTCTCTGTGTTAAATGTCAGGGCCCCGTGTGTGACTGCACCTTGAGGGCAACAGAGATCCACATTTCAACACCTTTATTTATCACTTTACCAATTTGACACACAATGTTAACAACAGCGAACACAGGAGGAGAAATATGCAGACAGACATGAGCTGTTTCACTAAAGGTTTGCAAGCCAGGCCTTGACAGCAGCTCTGACAGGTCTGGGGAGGGCCACCCCGATCCCATAGACGTTCCTGGTGAGTGCAGCTCTTAGATGCCCGCAGATGTGCCTTTCTGAGTCAGAACACCCAAGACGCCGACGCTACTTTACCAATACACTGATAAAGTGATACACTCAGAGCTCCCTAATGGTAACAAAACAGTGTAAAAATATATTGCATATATATATAAATTTATTTCCCTTTCCTGAAAAAAACTTAGTACAAACTAGTAGTATACGATCCCTTTCAAGTTTCTTTTAAGTTGTGCGGGTTTCCTTTGTTGTTTGGCTTGGTTCGGTTTTTCAAGAGTCTAAAGGGAGAAAGCATCTCAAAGGTCAGGGTAACCACTGCCCAGCCCCACCTGGGGCCATGCACTCCACACGCCCGTGGACACGGGCCGCACCCTGAACCGCCCAGTTCCACCAAGTGTTCAGTAGTAAATCCGTGGTGGGGAGCTACTCAGGGTCAGTGTTTTAAGGGCATTCTAGCCTATTGGTAACTTCACAGTACAGCTGAATTGTCAACCTGGCCTGCACGGGACAGGTGACAGCAGGGGGTCCTCTGTGGCTTGGGCTGCAGGGCAGGGCCAGCACACGCCTTCCCCATCAAGGGCCAGATGGTGAAAATGTTAGGTTTCCTCCCCACCAGTTGATGGGGTGCAGAAGCAGCCACAGACGGTGCCTGAGCACAGCGGGGTGGCCGGGGGCTATAAAACCATTCACAGAAGCCGCCTGGGGTGGGGGCACGAGCCTGTGCCCACTGCCACAGCCCCCGTCCAACGTGCAGTCAGAGGGACGCCCGTGGCCTGTGCTGAGCTCCGACCATGGGGACGTGGAGACGGAGCAGTACAGACGGGACGTGGTGTCAGCGAGCCATCTCTGCGTCCCTGTCCCCCAGCTTCTTGCACCTGATACGATTTCCATCTGCCTCAAACTTAGGACTGAGGATATTAGAAGTGTAAAAATACTCCAGTATAAATATATACCTTTTGCTACAACATTCTAAACTTACGTGATTTGAACTTCATTTTGGTAAAGCTAACTGTGTTACTGACCACTGCCTCGTTGCCTATCCTATCCTGTTAAATAGAAATAAATAAGTATTCTGGTGTGATCAGCGTTGAACGCCCTCCTCCAGTTGCCTCCTGGTGCTCAGATGCCGTCAGCCCTGCCCTCCCTGACAGAACGTGTCCTGTCTCCTGCGTGCTGTGCAGTTTCGCTTATTCACAGATAGACGTTGGGTTTCTAGTGAACCACGGTTAGTAGAAGCATAAAAACATGCGGCAACGACACACGCCCTGTGTGTTCTCCCTACTCAGACCCTAACGGAGGAGCATGCGTGTGTGCGCAGTGCGGCCCAAGCACATGTTCTGTGTGCAACGGCTACACCCCGGTGCAGGGATGGATGGAGCAGATGATTTCAAGCCGACAGAATGGCGACCACTGAAGCCTCATGACTTTGCTACCTCTCCCTCCTTCCTGACAGAGGGGAGGCTCTGACTGGGGGGGGGGGTAGCGGGGGATGCCGTCTGAGGAGGCCTTGGGGTCCGGACAGGCAGGGAGCGGTGGAGACCACAGCGCCTGTGTGGCCAACCAGA